AGGATTCAGGAAAAAGTGCAAGAAGAAAAGCACAACCAAGAACGGAACAGAGATAAAGCACAGAATGTGGGCACTAGAGTCTTAAGGATTGGCCACTGCCAATCAGGTGCAGTCCTTGGGATGTGACTAGAGGGACAGTCAAAAGGCCCAGGGCCACAAAGGGTCTCCCACCTACCTCCAGTTGCAATTGAAAGAACATATTAGTCACTCCTTTAAATGGAGGCATTAACCGCCTCCATTAAAATGCAAATGTCAGCACCTGGGAGAGTGGCAGAGCACGCTATTATCAGCCTTTCCCACCTCAGCTCCAATCTGAGCTCTTTGAATATTTTCTGTTCCCTGAGGGCCCAAGGTTTAGGGTTAAGGATGGGGTCTGGAAAAATCTAGGGCCCAGTTCCCCAGACTATTAATTGCAAATTTATCATCCTCGATTTCCAAGCCAAAGAAGCCGGAGGTCAAGAGTGAGAGAGGTGATGTCCTCCTTTCCTCTTCAGAGCTCACGGTGGGTGACTGGCTGTGCATAGGATGGATCCCTGTGCTGGGACTCAGTTATTTGTGCCCAGTGGCTAAGACACTGGCCCCAAGCCCCACAGATGACCAAATCTCAAGATGGCCAATGCACCATCCTGTTAACTACTCTCTGACTTGGAGATAACTGAAAGGTAAGTTGAGTTTGAAGCATGGGGCCTACTCTCAAAATGCAAATGTGCAGGGTAGGTGGACACAACTTGTAGATTCATTTCTACCTGATTGTGGGAATGAGATGATCTTTATGAACCTTTGCGGCCTCGAGAGTGCCTTGGGTAGAGTTCCTTAACTTCTTTTGAAGACCTCATTACAGGGCAGGGCTCTCCAGAGCAAAACTGTGCAAGGGGAAAAGACCCTTTTTGACCCCTAGCTCCTAACTGGCCTCCCTTTCTGCCCTCCTTCCCGCTCCCAGGTACTCTGACCCTTTCTACTCAGGGTTTCCCGGTCTATGCTTTTATTTGCCTAAGGGAATGCACCCTGGTCACAAGAGTTCCTCAACCTAACTCATCCCTGCTCCTAAACAGCAAGCACCCAACCTTGGCCCCATCCTTGGGGCCCAATTAAGCTCATTCACAATGATTTGCTATGATTGACAGTCCTGCCACAAGTCCCTCAACTTCCTAGGGGTGTTTGCATTCATTTTCTGACCATTTTTATTGAGATATATTTTACATACAATAAAGCTCACCTGGTTAAAGTGTTCAAGCCAGCAGATTTTATTATATGGTATTAAGAGAGGTTGTGTAAACATCACCATAATCTAATTTTAGAACATTTTCATCACCCTCCAAAGGATGCTTATACCTGTTAGCTGTCACTCCCCACTACCCTCATTCCTCAGGCCTAGGCAACCACTAATCTTTCTGTCTCTCAATTTTCTGCATTCATTTTTAGCAAATGAGTGTTATCCCAAAGCATGATTTTTCTGATAGAGGAGTTTTAAGCGGTGTGGGGGGACGTATTTTTAGGTAGGGGAGTAATACTTCTACCCACTTCTACAGGTATTTCTGACTGTTCTAAAATATTAAAAATATCCAAATATTCTAACTTCTAAAATAGAAATATTCCTCTAAAAAAGTCTAGAGGAGTGAAGAATTAAGTCCTGAAGAGTAACTGAGGCATAGGGGCAAGACAGCTGGAAGGGGCCTGGGACGTGTCTGCAGGTCTCCCAAAGGGCCCCACTGTGCCCTGGGTTGTAGTCACCTGACTTCCAGCAAACCAGGCACTTGTTTCAGAGAGGCCTGAGATGTCCTTTGGTCAGCACTCTATCAGATGACGTCATCCTTGCCTTTCCATACCAGGTGCACATCCTGGAGTCTGTCTTAACCTCTGCCTTTCATTCCTGTGACCTCTCCCAGCATTTTTGGTTTCTTCTGACCTTGAGGACTCTCCTCTACCTAGGGATTGGCCCCAGGTTTCCTTCTCAGCCTTCCATAGGCCTCCTCCAGCCAATGGTGTCATTCCCATGGCCAGATCACTTTGAGGCCCAATAGACATCTGCTCTGCAATAGTTTCCAGATTGGTGTCCTGTACTCTTGGATCTTGCTTTTTCAATGTGGCTACATCATTGCCAGTTTGCCTCCCAAAACAGAATGGACCAGTATATTCCTATCCCTAAATTCAGGGGCTCCTTATTGTCTTTATTTATTTATTTATTTTTGAGACAGAGTCTCACTCTGTTGCCCAGGCTAGAGTGAGTGCCGTGGGGTCAGCCTTGCTCACAGCAACCTCAAACTCCTGGGCTCAGGCGATCCTCCTGCCTCCGCCTCCCGAGTAGCTGGGACTACAGGCATGTGCCACCATGCCCGGCTAAGTTTTTCTATATATATTAGTTGGCCAATTAATTTCTTTCTATTGATAGTAGAGACGGGGTCTCACTCTTGCTCAGGCTGGTTTTGAACTCCTCACCTCGAGCAATCTGCCTGCCTCGGCCTCCCAGGATGCTAGGATTACAGGAGTGAGCCACCGCGCCCTCGCTCCTTATTGTCTTTAAACTGAAGCCCAGTCTCCTCTACATTGTGTTCAGGAGTCCAACCTACCTGTCCATCTTCATCTACCATCACACACCTGAGACCCTATCCCACTCACCATTCCCCAGATATATTAATGCGTTTATCAACAACTATTAGGCACCTCCTATGTGCCAGGCATCAGGCTAAGCTTGAGGCACAGAACAAGATACCAACTCTGCCCTTAAGGAATTCAGCAGATTATGGAGACATTTCCGTAAACAAGTCAAGATGATGCAATCTGACAGTGCTATAATCAGTGTGTGTGGTGGCTGGCTGGGCGTGGTGGCTCACGCCTGTAATCCTAGCACTCTGGGAGGCTGAGGCTGGTGGATTGCTCAGATTGCTCGAGGTCAGGAGTTCCAAACCAGCCTGAGCAACAGCGAGACCCTATCTCTACTATAAATAGAAAGAAATTAATTGGCCAACTAATATATATAGAAAAACTTAGCCGGGCATGGTGGCGCATGCGTGTAGTCCCAGCTACTCGGGAGGCTGAGGCAGTAGAATTGCTTGAGCCCAGGAGTTTGAGGTTGCTGTGAGCTAGGCTGACACCACAGCACTCACTCTAGCCTGGGCAAGAAAGTGAGACTTTGTCTCAAAAAAAAAAAAAAAAAAAAGAGAGAGATAAGCTAGGTGTGCTGGGGGCAGAGGAGGAGGGAGTATCTATGAGGGAGGGGATAGAGGAGGGGGATTAGAGAGGGCTTCCCTCAGGTGCAGTGAGTTTGATTTGTGGAGAAAAAAGTAATCTCCGCAGAGGTGTAAAGAGCAGTTGAGGGTGGCTGGATAACATGGGGAAGTGGTAGACAGTGAAAGCTGGCAGGAAGGAAGAGGCTATTTTGTGGACAGTTTTCAGTGGGGGTGAGATCAGATGGAGACAAAGTGGAAGGCAGATCTGAGAATAAGGAGGGAGAGTTGGCCATAGTCCAGGCAAGGAGGGGGATGTTCCTGAAGAAGGTAGTGGGAAGAGACAGATGTGAAAGACAATGGAAGAGGAGAGACTATCACTCTAAGATCAGGGTATCTGGGATAAGGTAATTCCACCAGAGGCAGGAAAACGGAGGGAGTAGTAAGCTACTTGGGAGATGACCTTAGTTTCAGATAAATTAAATCCTGGTAGCTGGTGGGTCCCATGGCACCCATGGGGAGCTCTCCACTGGACAGCTTGGAAATGGGAAGGGAGGCAAAGTTTGAAGATACAGATTTCAGAACTATCTTAGAGAAGAAAATGTGCTTATCCTTTGACCCAGCAATTCTACTTATAGGAATTTCTCCTAAGAATATAATTATGGATGTGTGTGAATATTTTTTTTGAGTTGAGGGTCTTGCTATGTTGCCCAGGCTGGCCTCAGACTCCTGGACTCAAGCAATCCTCCCACCTCCTGAGTAGCTGGGACTATAGGCGCATGCTGCCATGCCTGGCTCGTGTGTGAAAATTTTTCCTCAAAAATGCTCACTGTTTATAACAGTAAAGGAGTGGAAAGTTTTTGTAAACTGCTATGACAGTGAAAAATGTCTAACAGTAGGGGATTGGTTAAATAAATTGTACTATACCCATGCAATAGAATTCTGTTCAGACAGTAAAGCAGATATTATAGATGAATGCTTACTGACATGAAAAAACATCCACAATATTTTGCTAAGTGGAAAAAGGCAGACTCTAAAACTAATTGTGGGTAAGATATCTAGTTATTGTTTAAGAAAAGGATTAAGACCTTAATACTGGTTATTTCTAGGTGGCATGATTATGACTGTTTTCTTTTTTTAGTTTTTTTCTACATCAATCACACATGGCCTTTGTTGTAAGGTGATTATTTTAAAAAATTAAATAAAATTAAAAGGAATGACCTAAGGAGAGCTCTGAGAATGAGAAGAGAAGAGGATCAAGAATGGAACCTTAATCAATAACCTTGATATCTCTGGCCATCTGGCCCCTGTACAGACAGTTGTCTATGTTCTGAGTGTCTTTCTCATGTCATTATTGGCTACATGGCTGCATGGTAGAGCACAAAGACTGCTATAAACTGTGAGCCTCGGGCAAACTTCTTGGTTCTCTAAGTCTTAGCTTCCTCATCTTTATAAAGGGGAGAAATGGTTATCTGACAATAAAATATTTATAGACATATAGTAGTGTTTAATAAATATTAGTCCATCCTTCCTTTCTTCTTATTCATCCTTCCCTGTTGGACCCAGACTTGACCTCCAGAGGGAAGTGATGCTCCTTTTCTCTCAACACCCAATGTGCTGTTTGGATTTCTGTTGAACACTTGAACTTTGCTCTGACCTAGAAGTAGTGGTTAGCTCTCTCCACTCCCTGTAAATTCCTAGTTGAGTGTGGTCATCTTTCTGTCCTGGTAGCAACTAGCACAGTGCTTTGCACATTGGAGATGCTCAAGAATTTTTGTTGACTAATTCATGTTGCTTTTTACAACTTAGCCAATCATGGGTTACTCAAAGTCTGAATTACTCAGGGGTTATTTTATTCAGATCTCTTAGAACTTTCCTCCTTCCAATTTGTGACTCTGGCATGGTTTATCTTCCAATCTGCAGAGACTACCTGCAGAGATAGAGAAGGAAGCTTACTCAGACCTCTAGGCTCCTCCTCAGAGCTCTGAGGAGAGGGCTGGAGGATGAAGAAGGGTAAAGCGAAAGCTGTTTTCCTTTACCCTGCCTAGAGATGTGGTCCCCCAACTCTCCCATGGTTTAGATTGCCAGAACCTCAGGCAGAACAAACTAGGGGCAAAAAGGCAACTGAGTAGGCACCTCATTCCATAGGCCTAGGTCCTCTTTGCACCAAAGTAAAGTCCTCTGCATTCCTGCTTCTTGTCTCCGCGCTGTGCAGGAGCGTCTAGTCACCTTCCTCCTTTCCTTCCCTTCCCCCTGGTGGGTGTGCCGCCTTGCTCAGGTGCCCATCCTTCCTGCTAACATCCTGCCAGGTCGGGGAGGCAGCCTGGCACTGGTGAAGGACCTTGGGATGCAAGTTACGAGACCTGTGTGACCTGTGGCAAGTTGGCTAAGCTCTTGGAGCCTCAGTTTCCGCATCTTTAAACTGGGGATAAGCACACGTGCCCTGTCCCCTGCCCGATCCCGGGGTTATTGAGGGGAATCAGTGAGATTTTAAAAAGTATGAATGAGCAAAGAGCTTTCTATGAACGCCAAGCGTTCGGGACGCTGTCTCTGGGGCTTCCTCTCGGTAACTACCCTCCAAAGCGTTCCTGTCCGCCCCGCCCTGGCTACATCGGCCTCACCCACTGTATCTCCATCTTCTCCGTCACTGTCTTCCTGCGCTTCAGAGGTCCTGTCTCTGCAACTCCCCCGTCCATTTCCGGGTCTGGTTCACAAGCCCCTCCGACCCCTCCAGGGACTCTGTCTCCGTTTCCCCGCGGCGGTCGCTGCCCGGCGCCCCCCACCCAGTGCGCCCTCCTTTGGCACGGCCGCCCGGCCCGAGAATCGCCCAATCAGAGCGCCGGACTCAAGTCTGACAGCTCCGGCAGCGGCCAATCGAGCCGGGCCCCGGAGGGGGGCGCAGCGCCCGGGCTGAAGTTGGGTTGAATGGGGGGGAGGGGGACTAAAGGGGATACAAAAGAGGGGAGGTAGGACTGGGGACGCTGGAACCTAAGCCGGGGGCTGGGGAGGACCGCACGCCACCCAGGTCTGGCGACAGGACCGCGGGCTGGATGCGGCTCCAGGCGCCAGGGAGGGAGGGGCGCAGCGAGGAATTTAGGTGAGGAAGGGGAGCGGGGGTCCCTGCGGCCGGGCCAGAGGATGCCCGCGGGGCGCCGAGGCTGTGGCGGCGGCCAGGCCGGGGGCGGAGGCGGCCGCGCGCCGCTGTGAGCCGAGGCCCGAGCGGCGCGGGGGGCGGGGAGGCAGCGGGAGGAGGGGATGCGGAGGGCTCTCCGGCGGCGGCGGCGGCAAGCGGGCCAGAAGGGAGGAGCGGCGCGAGCGGCCGGAGCGGCGCAGGGCCCGAGGCGTGCATGGCGCGCCCTGAGCCTGGCTCCCGCGGGCCTCTCCGGAGCGCCCTCAGGGCGCCGCGGCTGTTTGGCGGGCCCTTCTGGGCCGGCTGCTTCTGAGCTCGGGGCCTTGATCTCTGGATGCCGTGCTCCCCAGGAGAAGCCCGCCTGCACTGGGGCAGAACGGCGGCGGCGCCGCGCCGGATTCCGCCCTCCGCCTAGTCGTTCTGCGCCGGTCGCGGTGGGCCCGCAGCCGGCGGCGAGGAGCTTGGGGCTCGCGGAGCCGGCGCGACAGCTCTCCGGGCCGGCGGGTCCTGGCCAGCCCGGCTCCGTTTGGGGGAAGGAGGAGGCGAGAGGGGAAGGGCCGCACCGCAGGAGCCGGTCCTCGACCCCGCCCCCTGCGCGGACGCGCTGAAGTCTCGGCTCCGCTTTCGCCGGAGCCACGCTCCCACTCTAGCCGCGGAAGGTGGGGGATGCGGGTGACGGCCCCCCCCGGGCTCCAGGACCCTCCCCCCCGGGGCTCCGGAGCTCTCGCTCCGCCCGCCGCCCCCTCCCCCGTCCTCTCCACCCCCCATCCCACCTCCCCACCCCTCGTAAAGAAATAATGCTGGCTGGCGCCCGCACCTCCCAGTCGCTCCCAGTCCGCCGCGAGGAAAGGGCACCCGCTGTGCGTCCACGCCCGGACCCCCGCCTCGCCGCCGCCTCGCCCCGAGAGCTGCTGGGCTCCTCTTAGGCAGGATCTGCGAGCGCCGCGCCCGGGCATTGCCAGCCCCGGGAGGCGCCACCCGCAAGGACACCTCTCCGTCCCGCCTCGACCGCAACTCCGGTCCTCGTCGGGCTCGACGCGAGCCAGGAGTCCGGACGTCTCTGCGCGCGGCACAGCAGTCCGAACAGTCCCGCCGCCCCAGCTCGGAGGCAACTCCACCTCGGACCTGGGATTCCTGACGCGGATTCTCAGCTACTTCTCACCTCGGGGCTGTGCCCTCCTCCTCCGCTCAGGACGGGGGTGCCAAGATGCCCCGCTGCGGCGCAGGGCCCTGGGCCGCCCCCGACGTGTGACCCCAGCCTGGTCCCCCTCCTCGGCCGTCCGCCTTCCCCGTGGAGACCCCCGGCCCGGCCCCCGGGGGAGGAGGAAGAAGACGACCAGGCCGAGAGGGGGATGTCCGGCTCCAAAAGCGTGAGCCCCCCGGGCTACGCGGCGCAGACAGCTGCGGCGCCCGCGCCCCGGGCCGGCTCGGAGCACCGCTCCGCGTGGGGGGAGGCCGACTCCCGCGCCAATGGCTACCCCCACGCCCCCGGGGGCTCGGCCCGCGGCTCCGCCAAGAAACCCGGGGGGCCGGCGACTCCGCAGCAGCAGCAGCGCCTGGCCAGCCGCTGGCGCGGCGACGACGACGACTACCCTCCGCTGAGCGGCGACGACCCCCTGGCCGGGGGCTTCGGGTTCAGCTTCCGCTCCAAGTCCGCCTGGCAGGAGCGCGGCGGCGACGACTGCGGCCGCGGCAGCCGCCGACAGCGGCGGGGCGCGGCCGGCGGGGCAGCACCGGGGCCGCCCTGCGGGCGGCGGCGGCGGCGCTCGGCCAGCCGCGGCGCCGCCGGCGCGGACGGAGGTGCGCCCCCGCTCGGTGGAGGTGGGCCTGGAGGAGCGGCGGGAAGGGCCGCGCGGCCGACGACCTGGAGGCCGGCGCCGTCGAGGCCAGCGAGGGTCCGGCGATGGCGGCAGCTCGGCGGGCTCAGGCTCCGGGCCTGGAACGGTGCTGTCTCTCGGCGCCTGCTGCCTGGCGTTGCTGCAGATATTCCGCTCCAAGAAGTTTCCGTCGGACAAACTGGAGCGGCTATACCAGCGCTACTTCTTCCGCCTGAACCAGAGCAGCCTGACCATGCTCATGGCCGTGCTAGTGCTCGTGTGCCTCGTCATGTTGGCCTTCCACGCGGCGAGGCCCCCACTCCAGGTACCCTACCTGGCTGTGCTGGCTGCCGCAGTGGGCGTGATCCTCATCATGGTCGTGCTCTGCAACCGCGCAGCCTTCCACCAGGACCACATGGGCCTGGCCTGCTATGCGCTCATCGCCGTGGTGCTGGCCGTCCAGGTGGTGGGTCTGCTGCTGCCCCAGCCGCGCAGCGCCTCTGAGGGCATCTGGTGGACTGTGTTCTTCATCTACACCATCTACACGCTGCTGCCCGTGCGCATGCGGGCCGCGGTGCTCAGCGGGGTGCTCCTGTCCGCCCTCCACATGGCCATCGCCCTCCGCACCAACGCCCAGGACCAGTTCCTGCTCAAGCAGGTAGGGACCCACCCGGCCACAGGGACTGGATCGTGGGGTGGGCAGGCCTCGGCCAGACTCCAAAGAAAGGGATCCCTCCCTCACCCTTTCATGCAGTAAAAAGAACCAGAGAGACAGGGCTAGGCCGCTTATGCTGTCTTGGAGCTTCTTAACCCGATCCGAGCCCCCGCGACTTCATTAACAGAAAAAGTGCCCTAGTGTTATTTGTAATGTTCCTCACCCTGTGGATGACACGCACTCAGCTGTAGCCATCGTTGTGGGGATGCAGTGAGGAAGGAGAGTTGGAGGAGAAAATTATCTGGAGTAGCCACCATCTCTTCCTGAGCTCTGTCCCTGAATACAAAAGGCCCCTAACAAAAGTGGCTGGACCCTCTAGCAGCCACCCCCTTCTGAGAGTCACTTGTGGTTTGTTAACCCAGTCCTGTATAGAGAGTTGGGGATGGGAGACCTTGGACAGCCCTTGCCCAGTCTTGAGGAGGAGATTGGATGATCCTGCTACACATCTGAGGCTGGGAGTTTGGCAGCTGGAGATATTCCTGAACTTGAAGGAGGACTGGCAAGTTTGTTTTGTTTACCAAAGTGCCCCAAGTAAAAAAGCTGTCCTTCCCAAAGGTGGGAAGGAGCCTTGGAGATGTGTGTGCTAGCAGTCCCCCTTCCTGCTTGAGCAGAAAGCAGGTGTTGAACATCGTGCCCCTTCAAGTGGGTGCTCCTGGACATTGCTTGTGGTGGGGGCTTTTTGTCCCTGCTGAGACTTGGTGGGCAAACCTAGAACTGTGGGCTCAGGAAGAAATAAAACAACTTCTGCCTGGTTAACTGGTGCCGCTCCTGAAGACTTCTGGAGAGGGGCATGCTTGCCATCCTGACCTCGGTGAGGGAGCTGGTCTGACATCCATACCTTCTTCCTTTAGTGTCCTATTGTCTGTTTCATGGTCCTGGTCCATGACCCTTCCTGCACCAGCTTGTTTGCTTGCTGCTCCTCTGTGAGAGTCAAGTGGGCCCCTTGTTGCAGTCTCTTGACCTTGGACCCCATGCTCACCTTCACCCCTCTCTTGGCATCCACCTCCTCTAAAAGAACCTTTTAACCATATTCCATTGTCATTTCCTTCCTCCTTCTCTTCACTTCTAACACCTTCCCTCAGACTTTGATCCTGTTGAGTACTGTGTCTCTCTTGAGGTGCTTTCCTGTGTCCCTTGGCTTCCTGCACACAGTATTCTCACATAGGGAATAGCACTAATATGGGTTTTAGGGTGCTGGGCTCTAGATGAACCTACAGCTTGCTCTATGACATGCAGTCTTTCTGGGCCCTTGTTTTCTTTTCTAAAAAATGAGATGCCCATTCTACTTCCAGCTACCTCTGCCCCAAGCCTCACTTCCTGCAAGGAACCTTCTCCTTCTATTCTGGCCACACCGGCCTCTCCATCTTCTACATGGTTAACGGGAGAGTCAGAGCCACAGAGTGAAGCACTTAGTTATTCTCCAGTGTCCACTGGTTTTGCTCCCTGTGCAGTGTATCCTCCTTGGCTGTACGAGTCCTGAGGTTATATGTGTTTTTTTCTCTTCCACTCTCTTTCCCTTGCCTAGCACAGTGCAGAGTACTTAGTAGGGACATAATAACTTGCTTGCCAATTTGTTTGGGGTCCAATGAGTAGAGTGGGTGGGGTTGTTGTTACTAAGTTAAAGTTTTTGTGATCTGGGATCAGAAGAAAAATAAATCTTTAGAGATTGGCTTTGAACTTGAGAGAGAAACCTTTTGAGAGGTGGTGGGTTAAAAAAGTTGCTACTGTTACTGCTTGTAAGGGCAACAACTCTTTGGACTGGAGGACCCATGCTCTCGGATGGTTGTATCTTTGGGGAGTGTTCCTGACTTGGGTGGATGTCACTTTTATGCAGAGGAAAGGACATGTCACCCATATGGGGCAGCAGAGATTTCCAGGAGAGTGCAGGGTGTTTTGTGAACCAGACTTGAGACACAGGGTCTGATTATAGCCTTAGGCAATTCTGGAGATATGATGTGGAATCAAATCCCAGGAAAAGGGTCCTGGACCTGGGGTGCTCCAACTCCATCTTAGCATGAAAATACTATTGCACCAATAGTGTCTATCTATCTGACTGACTTCCCCTTCTGGTTCCTCAGGCCAATCCCTCTCCTTTCTCTCTCCACCCTTCATGCTTCTCTCTCCACTCCCCCTTCGTGCTTCTTTACTCCTCATGGTCATTAGACCCTTGCTTGGCTATAGGATTTGGGGTGGATTTACATATAACTTTTGCTTGCTGTGAGTGTAGCAGAGCTTGTTCTGAATGGTCAAGGACAAGGAAATGCAAACATTCGATTTGGCTTCAGAGAAAACTGTATCTTTTTTTGTTGTTGTTTATACTTGATTTTTCCTTCTGATTAGGTCTGATATAAAATTTGTCTTTCTTGAACAAACCCTACTTGATGGTGGGGGGAGGCAATAGTTGGACAGTCCCACATTGAGCTCTGCCTCAGGTT